CTGTTGCCCTCCGCGAGAAGGACTTCGACTACTCGACCCTCTCCAAGCTCCTCAACAGCCTTGACTATGACCCCGTGAAGGCGACGAGGGACGGCGTGTTCGGGGGCAAGACCGGGGACAAGGTCAACTACTTCACCTACGGCATGTTCACCCACGGCGGAGTGGTCGGCACGACTACCAAGACCCGCGAGGACGACAATGTGGCGCGCTACCTGAACGGGTTTGCCAGGCACCATCTTGGAGGGAGAGCTACGTGGACTTCTGTGAGCTTGGCCCGGAACACCAACACCGAAGTCCACCACGACTTTAACAACCTCAAGGGCACCGCCAACTTTACCACCAGTGTCGGGCAGCGCAGCGGAGGAGGACTTTGGATCGAGGACAAGACCGTCACCGAGGACAACGTCACCGGCGTCAAATGGAGGAGGACGGGTACCGGGCAATGGTTGCCGGGCAGAGTGCACGACACCCTGGGCAAGTTCCACGAGTTCGACCCTTTCCTGAAGCACGGCACCGAGGCCTGGGTTGGAGACAGGTGGTCCATCACGTACCACACCACGCGCAACCTGCACAAGGCAGGGGACCAGCTCAAGAGGTTCCTCAGGAGATGCGGTTTTCCCCTTCCTCGGAAAGGCGAGATCGGAGAGGATGCTAAAAGGGTGGGCATCAAACCTAAGGCCAGTGTGAGACGCAGCATCTTCAACAATGCCGCAAAGATCGGGGTGATGATGGCCACCTTGGCTACTGCGGCCGGGAGCTATCTGTCCGAGCATGTCTACCCGCAGGTCGATCCCAACCCCATCGTGCTCTTCGAGATCGGAGGTACCGAGGCAACTCAGGAAGCCGCAGCGATTGGGAAGGACGTCTTCGAACCTATGGGGTGGGACCGATACCGCACTCCCGAAGGCAAGGACAGCGCCTACCACATTGTGAACGGCGGTGCCCCCAAGGAGTTACGATTGAACCTACGGGGCAAGCCCGCCGAGTGCGACGAGGACCTGTTCAGGTTGATGAGGCAACAGATCGAGGACGGAGGCACCGTGGTGATCAATGGCGACCGCCGGGAAGACTTCTTGGAGCTCATCAACAAGGACCAGTTCGTGAAGGACTCCCAGCAGCACGGCAGTGAGGACGAGAACGGGGTCTTCATGGTTTTCTTCAAGAATAAAGAGGCAATGCGACCTGTCGTGGGCCACAGCCGTGTCCACGAGGTGAAGGTGGTTTCTTCTGGAGTCCATGGAGGCGAACTACCGGCCATGGGCGCTACCGGAATCAGCTTCGGCCAAGATACACCCAGACCGGTGGCGACAGCACTTCGGCGACTACACCAGAATCTTGGACACCCCCGGCAGGAGGACCTTATACGACATCTACGTCTCGCGGGATGCGATACTCACATCCTGAAAGCAGCGAGGTCAATGCGGTGTCAAGTCTGCGAGGCCAACGCCGCGCCCAAGATAGCCAGGCCCGGCACCATCCCGCCGATGGCCGATTTCAACGACACCTTGGGTCTTGATCTTTTCTTCTGCCACGACATCAACGACGTCAAGCACACCTTCCTCTCGGTGGTGGACTATGGCACGACCTACCACATCGCGGTCAAGCTTGAAGGGCAGTCTGGAGAAGACATCGAGGCCAAGTTCAACGAAGCGTGGCTCACCCCTTTTGGGCCACCGAAGGCCGTTGTTATCGACCTAGAAGGCGGACTTCAATCGGCACTCGGCCGACTATGCGACTGGCACGGAATAGGAGTGCGCAGTGTGGCTACACAGAGCCACTGGCAAGCCGGAGTGGTGGAACGACAGCATGCATGGTGGAGACATATTTGGCAGAAGGTCAGCTACCAGTTCTCCGTTGGAGAGGACGAGGTAGACCTCGTTGTGCCGATCGTGAACTCCGCCAAGAACGACCTCAGGAAGAGATGCGGGTACAGCCCCTCCCAGTGGGTGTTTGGAAAGGCTCCTCGGATGCCAGAGGACATTCAGGACCCAGACGGAGGGGGACATGTCCTCTGGGATGTCAGCGAGGATGCGAAGTACCAGAGGCAAGCAGCGATGCGAGCTGCAGCCCGCGTTGCCTTTCACGAGAGCCAGACCGACGGGAGATTGCGAAAGGCTTTGCTTCAAAGGACCCGCGTTGCCACGAGGCCCATGGACATCGGGGAGAGCGTCCACTACTGGCACAAGCCGAAGAACAGACGGCAAGGATGTTGGAGCGGACCCGCGGTCATCGTGGGCAAGGAGGGCGGCAACTACTGGATATCGAAAGGAGGGCGCTGCCGGCTCACTTCACCGGAACACCTTCGACCTACGACAGCCGAGGAGGTGGGAGCGCTATTGGCCATGAAAGGCACCCAGAAGGAAGTCGAGATGCTTCTCAGTCACGACCCAGACGGAGAGGCGTTCGAAGAGGACCTCGACGAGCTTATGAAAGATATCGACGACGAGATGAGTTGGCCAGGCGATGATCCACCGCAGGACCCCGGCGACCCACAGGCCGACGAAGACGGCGACCTCGAGCTCGACCCCATCGCGGAGGACGAAACTCCTTCTGCGCCTGCTCCCAAGCGCAGGCTGAAGCGGAAGACCGCAGCGACCGAGCTTCACCCAGACCGCTACGAGGCCATGATGCTGAAAACGCAGCTGACGACGAGAGGCTTGGAAAAGCGCAAGGAGAAGGAGCTTAAGTGGTCCGAAATCCCACCTGAAGTTCACGAAAAGTTTCGCGAAGCTGAAGTCACCCAGTGGGAAGAGCACCTCTCGTTTGACGCTTTGGAAGCTCTCTCGCTCTCCGAAAGCGAAAGGGTGCGCCAGTCCGTGGCGCCAGAAAGGATACTACGCAGCAGGTGGGCGTACAAGGACAAGAACTGGTCTCGCAGAAGAGAAGGCGAAGATGTACCATGGAAGTGCAAGTCCAGATTGGTGATTGCCGGGCACACCGACCCCGACCTCACCGATGAGAGCCTCAAGCTCAACACTGATGCTCCCACACTGTCGAGAAGCGGCTTGGCTTGTATCCTACAGCGGACTGCAGATGGACTACTTGAAGAAGACCCTTGGACACTCGCGGCCGGAGACATCAGGTGTGCGTTCCTTACCGGGAGCTACTTGGACCGCGAGCTCTTCATGCACCAGCCCAAGACTGGATTCCCCGGGTTAGTCCCAGGGCAGTTGGTGCGCATCAAGAAGAACGTGTTCGGACTGGCAACCAGCCCGCATACATGGTGGGTCGACCTACAGACCGGAATCTACGATGTCGAAGTTCGCCTACCGCATGGGAACGACACCGCCGTGTACAAGTACGAGCAGTGCGCTATGGACCCATGCATATTCGCCCTTCGAAGATGGACCGACGGAGAGTTCCACGGCGCCCCCGTCTCCTACCTCGGGTGCCATGTCGACGACCTGCTGATCGCAGGACCGCGGAAGTTCCAGGCCCCCATTCAGGAGGCACTCGCCGGGAAGTTCGAAATCCAAGCCTGGGAGATAGACAAGTTTGAGTTCCTGGGCTCGCAGATAGCTGTTACAGCCGATGGAGTCAAGATGTCTCAGGAGAAGTACGCCGAAACGCGACTCTTCAACATCGAGATCCCGGTCGGCACGGACGAGAACGACCTAGCACCCCCGGAGTTGGTGAGCGACAACCGAAGCCTGATCGGGGCACTGTCGTGGATGAGTGGACAATCTCGCCCCGACTTGACGTGCTCGGTGTCTATGGCGCAGCAACTACAGAAAGCCCCAACGTATGCAGACGTTAAGTTCACCAACTCCGTCGCCACCAAGGCCTACCAGTTCCGGAACTACGGCCTCGAGTTCAAGCCGATCCCAAAGGGGAACATGATGATCATCGTCTACCACGACGCCGCCTGGGCGAACGTTCCCGAGCCGGAGCCCGACGAAGACTACTACGTCCTCTCGAAGGAGGAGAACCTTGCGGGACTACAACTGGAAGGGCCATACTCGCATGGCCCGGGGAGAAAGGCGAAGAAGGGCAACTCGAAAGTTGCCTCGCAGCTCGGGATCCTCGTGATGTTCGCTGACCGAGCCGCTCTTGCAGGAAGGGCGGGCAATGCCAACGTCGCCGACTGGAAGTCCAGAGCCGGCCAGCGAGTATGCAGAAGCACTTTCGGAGCGGAGACGCAGGCATGTGCAGAGGGACTCGAGACCGGCCAGTATGTGAGGTCGATGTATGAATCCATGATGAGTGGGAGGCTAGTCACCGTGGACTCCGCCAGGCTCCCTATCCTCTGCTTGAGTGACTGCCGGTCCCTGTACGACCACCTCAACAAGCAGGGCATCCCCAGGGTTCCCAGCGACAAGAGGCTAGCGGTGGACTTGGCCGCCCTACGACAAGGGCTGCGTCTCGAGAAGTGGAGTAGTGATCTGCCGATCGCCTGGATACCCGGGGCGCTCCAAAAGGGAGACGTCCTCACTAAGCCGCAGAATCCTACCGAATGGTGGGAGGCGCTATCCGGCAAGCTCCTTTTACCTTTGGCTATCGGCCAAGACGGGGTTTTAATCAGCAACAGGACGGTGAGACAGAGAACCAGTGTGAAACTTGATGGAAGTGTACTACAAGATGGCTTGTTTCCTTTCGAATATTGCATACAGTGAACTGTCTCGCTGCCTGTACTGCACATGTAAAGAGCTGAAGCCCCACACGCCCTGAACGCAGGCTTACCGAAGGCATCCGTGCGCAAAGCAAAAGGACGGCACATGCTGTGCCAAGGCCGGGACGGGAGTGCAGCTTTTGCCCCTAGTGTAGTGCCTCCCGTTCTTCTAGTTTCACACTAAGCCCTTAACCCTAAAACCCTAAGACCCTAAACCCTTAACAGTAGAACGTGACTTTTGGACCCTGATCCTTCGGGGGCCTCAAAAGGTAGGATGAAGGTAGGTGGGATATATTCCCAAATAAGAGTCCGTATATAAGGGATCCTTAATTCCACCCACCTTCATCCCACCTTGTGAGGCCTCCGAAACCAGAAGCCCCAAAGCAATGAGGCTGGCTTGCCTGCCATCCTTGCGGCTTGAACCGAACCTTAGTCAGGGTTGCAGGCACAGGGTTTGAGTATAGACGCTTTAGTTTAGGCCTGTTTAGGCTCTATATAATATGGGAGTTTCCGAAAATGGGGGACCCTAATATAGCACCCTAAATAGTAGGATCCTTTTTATACAGACCCATTTAGGTCGAGGGTTAGGGATTGAGGGTTTTAGGGCTCGAGGGTTTGAGGGTTCATCGGCCTTGGTGTGGGCACCGGGTTCCGGATCCAAAAATCCTGCTGTTGTTTCCCAGACCCAGGCCCTGAAGCGTCATTTGGGAGTTTCCGAAAATTCGGGGTACCTTATTTTGGGTCCTTATATCAATAAGGATCCTACTATTTTGCGTACTTTACTAGGTTGCCCTATTTTCCGAAGCTCCCATTTCATGCCTGCAAGTGTGAAGGCGGAAGCTGGGTCCTAGTAAGCTTCACCATGCGATCTACAACGAGAATCGGAGTTCCCCAGAATAAAGCACAACTGGCAGGATCCCAGCTTCAAGGCCCGAGTGCCAAAAGGCCAAGGTCTGAATTCCTAACCACTGAGTAATGCATTAAGTATGTTCCTCTGAAGGCTTATGCTATGATGAGTTCGAGTATACTAGAACATGCCTCAGAAGAAGTTTCGTTTTACCCATCTAGCCCCTATGTTACCACCGGCACATTCAACTCGTTTGGGCTGTCCTTCTGCGCTGAGTCCCACCATTTTGCAGCTCTTCGTGTACCTGGAAGTACTCCCGACTTTGGGTACGCTCCTGAAGATGGATGCACAGCGCATGAAGCGAGCTATTCTGATTGGCTCGGCCACCCGTCTGCCAGTAAGCCCTTCTAACAGATGCATGGATTTCAGGGTTTTGTGTTCAAACGGTTTAAGCCAGGTTAGGCTCTAGTTTGGGCTCCAGGGTTAAGGTTCATTACTTTGGTTTCTAGCATGCATAGGTCCTTGCTGCGACGTGGCTCCCTTGTTGCTGAAACTCCGCCCCCATGAGCTGCAAACACTCAGCCATCAACCGTGAAGGCCTAAAAGCCCCGCGAACTCTACCATAAACCCTAACACCATGACCTTAGATAGCCAATGGGGTGACCTTTAAACTTGTTTGCCTTGCATTCTGGTCAGAAAGTTCAAACTTTTTGGGGCCCGGTTATTGAATCAGGGAATGAAGCAGCCCCATAACCTCAAACCTATATCCGCCAAGCCTCCATCACAAATCTAAAGAGCATCTGGCCTGCATGGCTTTGGCGGTTATTATACGGGCTTACTAAATCATTACCTGTTCTATTTTGGGGTTCCTTATCATAATTATCGTATCATACCGAGAACGTAAAGACATGTCCAAGTCCATTCAAAACTGGGCCCCTTGGGGTTCAGGGATTTAGGGCTCGGGGGGTTAGGGTTTAAGGTTTAGGGGTTAAGAAGGGTTTATAGTGAACCCCAGAAAGTTGGAACATGGACTAAACGTGATTCGTGCTATTCTTGACCTTCAAGGCATGAGGGTAATGATGTTCCAACTTTCTGGCCTCTACAGAGGTTTGCGAAGTTGTAGGGTTTAGGCTCCGATCCCCAAATCACTGCAGCAAGGTCCTGCTGCTGATTCTGGAACTTGCTTGGTCCGGGCTTGGCTTGGGGCTGGTGCCCTTCGTCCGCGGTTTGCGCGCCGACCCGGTGGACGTGCTTCTCGGAACTTGTGCAGCAATGGATTTCAGAAGTTGTGTTACTGGTTTCAGCATGCAGGATCTACGCAGCCTAAAACCCCAAGCTCTTAAACCCTTGAGCCCCAAATCCCTCCATGCCAAACCTGACAGACTTGGGATTCAACTTTGCGTGTTCAGGGTTGCAGGATTCCGGCGTTGTGCTCAGTCTCGTATCGCGCCCATGTTTTATGCTAGACACTCGGATCCTCGCCGAAACCATATAGCACCCCGACGCCCAAGCATCACCAGAAGATACTTTTCAATTTCGACGCCTGCAACTCCCGACCCTAGCCAGCCCAAAATCGTAAATCTGTGAATCCCTGAACCTTTGAAGCCTCTAACCCTGAACCTTAAACCCTAAACCCCTATAAACCCTAGCCCCTAAACCCCTAACCCCTAAACCCCTAACCCCTAAACCCCTAAACCCTAAACCCCTAACCCCTGAACCCTAAACCCCTAAACCCTAAACCGAGCTTGAACCCTAAACCTGGCTCGCCTGAAGGACAAGGCGGTCCTGTCTCTGCAGCCGTGCTCCTCCTGGGCCCCTCATCCGCCCTACTGGGAGGATCATGGGACTTAGTAACTATAGGGTTCCTTAGAGGGCTCCTTAAAGGGATCTATAGGGTTCCTTAAAGGGAACTATAGGGTTTAGGGTTTAGGGTACTACTTGGAGGATTATGGGACTTAGTAACTATAGGGTTCCTTAGAGGGCTCCTTCAAGGGATCTATAGGGTTCCTTAAAGGGAACTATAGGGTTTAGGGTTTAGGGTACTACTTGGAGGATTATGGGACTTAGTAACACTTATAGACCTAAGTGCCATGTCTGACACCGGGGCACCCCTCTGTTGTCTTGCTTGGAGGATCATGGGGCTGAGTAAGTAAGGTTATAACTACCTTATATAGTTGGGGTCACAAGTGTACTTGAAGGTTCATGGGACTTAGTTACTAGGGTTATAATGAGGGTAACTATACTTACAACCCCAATTAAGGTACTTATAACCTCACTTACTAAGTCCCATGATCCTTTAAGTCTTCTTGGTTCCGAACTACCATGCTTGAACACTCTTTTGGACCTGTTCCTGAAAGACTTCAAGGAGCCATTGAGATATGAAAATCAAACCTTTTTCCCTCCTGGTTACTTCAAAGCCCAGCTGTGGAGCCATTAAGACATGAAGATCCTTTTCCTCAAAGCCCAACCCTAAACCCTAAACCCTAGCTGTTGAGTTGAACTCTCGAGCCCTGACAGCTTCCGGTTTTTTCGGGAGCCGGACCTTGGGTTCCAAAAAAAAAGGGGGAGGAGTACGGCCCTGACAAGATTCCCTGAAACCCTAAACCTCGAACCTTAGGCCCTAAACCCCAAACCGTAATGCTTACCCTAAACCCGAAACCCTAAACCCTAAACCCTGAAAGTTCCCTAAAACGTGAGGCCGTGAATCACAGAGGCTTTAGGAGTGCAGGCCCTTGAGATCCTAACTGCCCAAAGCGCTGCGGGGGCGCTGCAGAGCAGGACCTGCCTATTCGGGCATTTCGGGCATTTAGGGTATTTAGGGTTTAGGGGGCATTTAGGGTTTAAGTTTAGGGATTGCAGGCCGAGGATGTAAAGACAGCATCGCATCGCAAGAAGTTTAGAAGGCCGCTGCGGAGTGAAGCCCAAAGCCCCGAGCGGACGCCTCCAAGCGGAGCCCAGGCTGCTGTGCAGTTAGCACGACCATTCTGGGAACGAACCTCGCCCTGCGCTCGTTCTTCTGAGCCTTCGGCTCGAATTCGGCCGGTTGGGGTATGGGATTCAGGTGCTGGTGCAGTGGCTCAGGGGCGTCCCGGAATTTCCCTAAACCCTAAACCCTGAGCCCTAAACCCTGAGCCCTAAGCCTGAGCCCCTACCCCCGTTAGACTTCAGGATTCTGGGTGTAACAGTGTAGATGTACCATGGTAGTTCCTTTTGGGGGTTCATATTTAGAATCCTAAAAGGTAATCCCCAAAAGGAACCACTATGGAGCCTATAGGTAGGCCCTGTGAAATTTGTGCGGGCGACAATGATGATACAGTTGCGGTGCTAACTCCTGTTCCCACTCCAGAGCTCAGAACAGCAGTCACAGCAGGTGATGGGATTCCGAAGCGGGTTTCTGTGTGGGCGTTCGTTGCAGCGTCTGTGCTGCCGGCGGCCGCAAGCTTGTCGCCGGATGCATTCTTCGGTGCAATCGACTTCGCAGGTCCCGTCCATCAGCTTTCGCTGTTTTGCAGACAATGTCCCTTAAATAGTCTGACTCTTGAAGCCCGGGGTACTTCTCTTTGGGTTTACTTGGAACTAGCATAACCATCTTTTGAAGGTTCTTATTATACACCCCTAATATGGAGTTTACAGGGATGAGTTTGTGGGTTAAGGTAGGGCTTAGGCTTAGGCTTTACTGAGGGTTTAGGGGTCCGGCTAGGGGTTTCAAGTGTCAATTTTATGCAGCTGCCCTCTTCAGGCTGCGCGGATGTAAGCTTCGGAATGTGTCTTGAAAAGTCTCTTTCCCTAGGGATTTAAGGACTCATGTATTAAGGCTCTTGGGCCCAAAGACCATACTATATAAGGCTTTTGGGCTATTTTTATCCCTAGGGTTTGTTGTTCTGAAATGAACCTCAGGACCGAGTGAAATAAGTACCGCAATGGTGTTACTTAAAGGATCATGGGACTTAGTAACTAGGGCTATAGTTAGGGCAACTATACTTATAACCCCAATTAAGGTACTTATAACCTTACTTACTAAGTCCCGTGACCCTCCAAGTACCTTACTCAAAGCCCGACTTAGCCTTACTTACAAAATACCCTGGTGCTCCAAGCGCAGGGGCGTACCCTGTGACTTTGCTTTGGGGCTGCGCACCGCCGCTGATGGCGTTGGCCGGCAAGCCACGCAGCAGGAGCCGTGTAGATTTCAACATGGTTTTTCCTGTTAATTAGGGCTCTTCCCAATGGCTGAGGGCTTCAGCGGCTCTTTCGAAAATCCCTTGAAAGGGAAAGGGGTTGCTCGAAGTTTCGGGATTAGGCTTCAGGATCTCCAGGGCTCGGGCTTAGGATCTATATATTACATTTATCCTTCTTCTTCTCTCTCTCTCTCTCTATGTATATGTCGGATCTCATCAGATGTAATTATGCCTGGATGAGGGATGCCCTAAATGCTGAACCCCTAAGAATCTACAGCGAACAGCGTACGTAACAGTAGCAGGGTCAGCAACAACGACGACACCAACAGCAACAGTAACAACAGCAGCGACAGCAACCGCCGCAACCAGCAATATTCGTGACGATGACAACAGCAGCAGCAGCAGCAGCAGCAGCAGCGGCGACAACTGAACAGCCGCAGGGCATTCATGCACACGCCTTCCTGTGATGCAGCACAGTCAGGAGACAGGCTATGCTGCTGAAGCTGATCCTGGTTGCATCCGTGGCCACTAGACAAGGATGCATCTTTGTTTATGCAGCGAGCTGCCCTCTTGAGAGGCGTTCGACAGTTGAAGATAGCTGCCCAGGGTCGTAGAATCCTACGGAATCTGCCGGTATGTACGGATTGCTTGCATAGTTTCCGGGCAGCTTTTTGGCTGTGGGTGTGTGGGCGCTTGCAGGCTTGAGGGGAGTAGGAGGCCTTGGGGCCGCACCGTGTCTTTGAGCTGCTGTCTAAACAAGTTGTGACCTTGACTTAGGGGTACTTAGAAATGATTTTTAAGTTTTGGTTATGATAATCTCTAAGAAACAGGTAAAACTATGATTTTTGCTAGGGTTCTAAGTTCAGTATAGGTGACCTTGAAGGATTTTAAGGTGTTTGTGTGAAGTGGATCTTTTTCAGATGGTGCTACCTATTTATCGCCAAGCTGGCTGCGCTCCATGATTACCGGTTCAGAGTCCCGTCGGCTTGTAATGACTGCAAACGGAAAGCAGGCGTCATAGTCATTTTAGTAGTGTAATGTGTGCTGTGCACAGGACGTTCATACTCTGATTGGTAACAGCCGTCATCCGATGCGGGTATCAACCTTTACCCTCGGTCACCTGTTCAGCTGTTCAGCTAGAGTCCTAAATCCTGAAACCTGGGAATCCTAGCCCTTTTGCATGTTCCTTGCTCTTTCGAAGCTGAGGTATCGGTTGCAATCTGTGCTGCACAAGATGTTGGGAGACTGTTGGGCCTTGAAGCAGCTGCGCGATGGGCGTGAAGAGCATGGCCGTTCGATGAGGATTTGCTGTGTAGTGCTTGTTCTCTTGCGCGATTTGGGGATGGTTTGTGGGCGCTGTCATGGGGTTTCTTGAACTTCTCCCTGGACGTAGTATGGACACCTCCAAATCCCGAAAGCGAACCCGGTACGAGCTCCCGACGTACAAACCTCAACCCCAAAGCTTGAGCCCTGACAGTCTGGGACACCTGAAGGACCCGATGGAACTTTGCAAGGACGACGATCTGGCATGGACCAATGATACAGCGGACGGCGCGTTGCACGAGTCGCCTTTTTTTAGAGAAGAACTACCACTTCGCAAGGCCTAAGGCGGTTCAGAAACCGTGGCTTCGGGAGAAGACTGCCAAGATCCCGGAGCTTCCTCGAAAGAAATGCTGACAATCCGCAGGAGCCACGGGTCTTGGACAGTCGGCTCCGGTGGGTGCCCATGGGCATAACCAATCTTCCCGAGTTCTTCGTCAGGATCGTCGAACAGCCGCTAAATGGTGTCTGTACACGTGGGCCGGGCTGGGATGTTGCGGATCTCACGCGCTCTTCGGAATCCTCGACTCGACACGGAACCTGTCCGTGGAGAAAACGATGCCGGTCTGGACCTATAGATGCTTAAGTTTGGACTGGACCTTCAGTGCTGAGCCCAGTTGACGAGTAACAGCTAAGGTTTAGGGTTTCGGACGCTGTAGGATCTAGGCCCATCTAGGCCTGAGAGCTTCTGGATTCCGAAGCCCAAACCTGGAAGCAAAGATAAATGCTTGACACGTAACCTTTCGGGTTGCTCGAATTCGCATCCTTGACGAACCCCAAAACAAGCCTTCAGTTCCCCCTGCAACGGGACAGGTGAGCTAAGCCTTGTGCCAAAGCTGTGCCATGGGGTCGTGCAGGCCGAGTGTGTCGAGCCACTGCAGCTGGTGAAGTATGTGCCCGGGCAGTACTACAGGCCAGGCCTGGCCCTAAACTTAAGACGCCAAACCCTGACACCCTAAATCCTAAATCCTTAAACCCAGAACCTAAAACAGAAGCCCGAAGCCTTGAACCAAGAGTTGGGCATCTTCTCCTCGCCCTAAATCCTGCACCCTTAGCCCTACACTCTCTATGTGTACTATGTGTAGTCTCCGCTGCAGCTTTTTTAAGGGATCCTGTAAAGGAATCCCTTAAAGGCCTCCTTTACGGCTTTTGCGTTTGGGTGTACTCTCCATTGTAGTTCCTGTTCTGGGTTAAATTTTTAGGATCCGTTGAGGTAGCCCCAAAAGAAGAATTACAATGGAGACTGTAGGTGTCCCCTCCAGGTGTTTACCCCAAGCTTTATACCCCATGCTCTGCATCCTCCGGGGGTTCTTTGAGTGTTAGCGCAGGGCAGAAATGAATCTCCAACCCTCGCATAGACTTGGACAGCGACCGACGCGGCGGTAACCTGGGATTCTGTGGAGCTGTTTTTCAGTTTGGTTGTATGGTTAAATATAAGGGGCTTGTGGCACTAAGTAGTTTGCAGTATGGTCTACCTCGCGGCCCCACGATGACTAGTCCAGGACGCCCAGGAAGTCGGACCCCTACATGCACAGGGTATCTGATATTTGCTGAGCGCACTTTTGCAAGTCCGGTTCACAGGCCAACAATTACATTGCACAAGAGGGTTTAGGGTCTAGAGAGTCTAGAGTTTCAGGTCTCATGCTGCCATGACAAGCTCAGCGGGAGTCATAGAGGATACAAACAGACCCGAAACCCTTGCCCATATAAAGCCCTGAAAGCCTTCAGTGGACCCTAAACCCTAAAATCTAAAACCCTAAACCCACGCTAAACCCTAAACCCTCGAAGCCCTAAAATCTAAAGCCAGTGGGGCTCGATTTTCCGGGTTCTGATCGGCAGGGGCCTCACAGAGAAGAGACATCCCAAAAGTAGTTGTCAGGACCCAGCTGAAGAGCTTCATAGAGAGCCCTGCACTCTAGAAATCGAGAACCTAGGATCCATGATCTGGTTTGAGGTGTAATATCTGTAGCAAAGCGATATCGGGCTTTCGTGGCTTTTGCAGGCTAAACCCGCATGGTAAACCAGAGGAGGCTGGTAGTCCCTCCCGATACTGCTCTGACAGTAGCGACAAGCAAGCACTAAGCATTACAGTACTCCCTGAACTAGACTGAAGCACTGAAGCCTAAACTTCAAAGCTGGAAACCCGAAGTTCGAAGCAAGAAACTGAGCCCCCGGCCTGCGGGTTCGCTAGCTGGTGCTGTAGAAGCCCAAGTGAGACTTCCCTATTACCAATACTATCCCCCTCAGAGTCCTTGCAAAAAGGCACGGTACCCAAAACCCTGTTGTAGTTGTTAAGGTCCCTCTAGGCCCTTGCTGCCTTCACGCTTAGCTAGTAAGCCATGGTTGGCCCCCATCCCTGCAAGATGTTCGGTTGTCCCAAATGTGACAGAGTCTGACCTTCGGAGAAGGATGTGCATCAATGCTTTCTGTGGAAACGGCAGGAGCCCAACGAACTTGGGGCGAAGGAACCCATACAGAAGCATCGGATCCTTGGTCCTCGAGAAAGCATGCTTCCTGGGCCTTGGACGAGCTGGAAAAATTCCGGCTTTGCCGATGGGTTTTGCCAGACAAGTTGGAAGAGCAGCTGGCAGACCTTGACGAGAACTCCAAAGAGCCAGATGCCCCCTTGGAAGGGGCCCGGATGTCAGCAATTGTGGCTGAGAGTGGAGGTCACAAATTCTCCTAGAAGATTGTGTCGAAGAAACTTCAAATTATAGTAAAAAAAAACAGGTAACTCGGATTCCGAGGGTCAGCTATCGGCCGTTAGCATGCAAAGAATCGGAAGACGGTGGGTAGGATTCGCCAGCTCCGGTGCATATCATGGGACGTAGTAAGTAGGGTTATAAGTACCTTAAGTGGGATCATATGCGAATGTATTTACACTTATCTCGCGACCCTTCTTGCCAAGTACCTTGATGCTCCAAGCAAAGCCTATGAAACATGATCCAAAACCATATAAAACCCTCTAAAGCCCTTATGAGACTCCTCAGGAAATCTTATAAGCACCCCTTCAAAACCAGCTTTTCCTGAAGTCAGGGCTCACATGGACACACACCAAGAACCAGAGAGGCGGCCTGGCTGGCGAGGATAGCATAGAGTAGAAGCCAGAAAGTTGGATTAGGGTTTAGGGTTTATAGGGTTTAGGGTTTATGGGGTTTAGGGTTTAAGGTTACGGGTTTAGGGTTTAGGGTAGAAGCCAGAAAGTTGGAACATCATTATCCTCGTGCGCTTGAGGTCGTGTATAGGGAATCCCGGCACGGATCATCCTAAATCCATGTTCCAACATTTTAGGGTTCACTATAATGGAGCCTGAATATACCCATAATGGTACCTACAGGGCTCCATTAAAGGGCCCCTGTTAGGGTTCTACAACGGTGCCTAGCGGGGCCTGAATACACCCGGCTCATTGTGGGACTATGGTCTCCATTGTAGTTCCTTCGTTTGGCTAACCAATTCTATAATTAGGATCCTATCTTAGATCCCCAGTACCCAACCTTTAAACTGTTTGGGTTCTTATAGTTTAGTAGGAATCGGAAAGTTTAACCTTGTAGTGTTGTGGCTTGTTGGGGGAGTAAGCTATACCAAACAAGGGACTACAGGGATACGGGCCTTCAGGTTATATAAGGATCCTGCTATTTGGGGTAGTATATTAGGGTCCCCCATTTTCGGGAACTCCCATATACCCAGTATGGTACCTTCGAGTTTCTATTTCAGTTGGGTCTCATTCGCTGGATTTCGTGCTCGGGATTTTGCGGCCTCGTGGCTTGCGGCCTGGGCTCAAGGATACCTTACTGGGAGGGTCGGGGGACTTAGTAAGTAGACTTATAAGTACCCCAAAAGGGACCCTAATTGGGATTATGGTACTTCCCCCGACCCTCCAAGTAGACGGACCTGACCCCTCTTCCGGTTCAACGGAAAAAGGGAAGCTCATTATCGTAACCCTTCTTATAAAGCCTACCCCTTGTAGAAAGTCTTACTCTAGTCGCCAACATAGTACCACTTCTAGTGAAACTCAACCCGCATGTATACGTAGCCCTGTAGCAGCCAAAGCGCGACTGATCTTACACCTAGGCGAACCGTTAACAGAACTCTTAAGTAAGCCCGAAAATGAAGTCTTTATAGAACCCTAAAAGAGGCCCTTTAACGGAACCCTTAAATACACTGTACAGGAGCCCTTTTTTTGGAGCCCGAAAAGGGGCCCTTCAATGGAGCCCTTAAAGGAACCCTTAAAAGACCCCTTACAAAGGAACCCTTAACAGAGCCCAAAAACCCTTGAAGGGAGCCCTTATACTACGGAACCCTTTATAGAACCCGAAAAGGGGGGGCTTTCATGGAGCCCTCAAAGCATCCTTAAAGGAACCCGAAACCCTAAACCCACAAGCCCTAAACCCTAAACCCCTATCGAGCCCTTTAGGGACCCTGAGCCCTAAACCCTTATAGACCCCTTTCAAGGGAGCCCTTCGTGCTCTTCTGGTACTTGGAGGATCGGGGGACTTAGTAACTGGTTACTTTAGGGACTTAGAAGTACCATAACCCCAATTTGGGTCCCTTTTAGGGAACTTAGAAGTCTACTTACTACCTACTTACTAAGTCCCCCGACCCTCCAAGTAGCCAGCGGAGCGAGGCTAGGCTCCTTCAATGGCGAGCAGCGCACGCATACGCTGCTGGTGTTCGTGCCTCTCGGAGCCGGACATTGGGAGTTTCCGAAAAGTAAGGGGTACCTTTAAAGGGATCTCTATAAGGGTTCCTTAAAGGGATCTATAGGGGGTTCTATAAAGGGTCTAGGGTTTGGGGAATTTCGGAAACTTAGGGGTTCCTTGTTTTGGGGTCCTTATAACAAGAATCCTACTGCTTGGGCTACTATATTAGGATCCCCTATTTTCGGAAACTACCACATTGGGATTTCGTAGGGTTTCGGAGCTGAGGGCTTGGAGTTTAGGGGCGTTTTGGACTGGACGTTG